GACCATTTTACCAACCTTGAGGGCAAGGTCGCGCTTAAGGGGGGAGGGATGTTACGAGATCGAGCTATCGTAGCATTTCATTAATTACTGGACTTGCGTATCTTTCTTATTAGTTCGTATTTGGATATTATTGGGTCTTATGTATTATTGTCTTAATTAATGTTTTCCTTGTTCAAGTTGGTTTAGGTTATTGTTTGTCGTGTTCTTAGCGGAGTAGGATTTATATTCTAGATGGGAAAAGGGTAGAGGCTTCTATGCCTATAAATATGTACTTGTTTCGTTCGTTTAATGGCATGAGAAGATTGGAACCCAATTTATGTTTGTTTGCTTTGATTATTTCTTTCGTTCAGTTTAGTAGTTTCGTAGTTATTTTGGGGTTGTTCTCGCCATTAAAGAGATCCTCTACTCGAGAGCGTCGAACAACGTATCCAAAAGTCCGGAGAAGTAACGATCTAGTACGTAGAATTCCGCCCCTACGGCGCATCTACGTAACAAGCATCAACAACACGGTCCGGCACAAAACCAGTCATTCCTGTCTGAGTCAAAGGCGACGACCCAGTCATATCAACAACCACATATCGCCCCGATTCCATGAATAAAGCAGCAAATTCGCAGGATGAAGGGGTCTGACATGCCCATCAACCAAACCGATATCAACCTCCCTACCTACAGAAATCTCAAACATATAACAAATATCAATAATGTGTTATGAAAGAGGTTATATCGATGCTTAACGCTCATAATATCATTATAATTAATTACTTTTGTTATGTTTTTTGATTGAATGGGGTTAGTTGAGATCCACTTTATTCTTAATCAGGCTTTCTGTGCTGAATTAGCATTATCAAGTAGATAATGCGGCCTCATCGTGATTCACACTCCTTAATTACCGTCCCTTTCGTTCATAATTATATCAATTTCGCTACATTCCTTAGACAACGAGATGCACTATAATTAAGTCCATATACTAACAGAATTTACAACATCATTATTGACAACTGAAATTCCAGTCTGAATACTAGAAAAATTATCATTACCTGCCGCCCAACAGTGAAGTGCTTTTTACCTAACTCCTCCACTTTCACCTAATCTTGAAGTTGCAAATTTTTACCAAAGAATACTAGCTAGCTAGTTTGTTGCTGGCCGTGGTCCATTAAACGTTAACAAATTGTCTACTGAAACACTACTAAAGCCTTTGGTTCATTTCCACATACTCTTTCCTTTGTTGTGAAAGTGTTTCCTTCCACATATATGTGTCGATGAACAACTGACACTCTTCGTCAATCTAGTTACTGTTTGGATTTCTCGGCTTCAGACAATCATATATATATGTATGAGTTTCGTAGGACCTGTTGTAATGTTTTGCTTTTTGTCGTGACACAATCCTTTGAACAGATCGATCCTAGGGTAATGCACTATACATGTCTGCCTCCAAGATCTCATGCGGAGCTGTCAAGTCACGCTCCAGATGCTCGAATGAAGTGTCCTCAAACTCCAGATTTTCCGATGGCTTAAAATCACAAGTTCCGGTTACGGCCCGCTTTAGTTATATTACTTATGTTTGGACCTCTTCAATTCCCACACAATTAGGGGTGTCCGACCCGATTAGATACATTTTTGGTTTTTTGGGTTCGGGTTTGTTTTGGGTTTCGGATTTTTCAGTTTCGTGTTCGGTTTTGTTTATCGGGTTTTCCGGTTCCGTCTAAAAACCTCCAAGGAATAGAATTCAACCCGTATTCTTAGGCATTCGATTTTTCAGGTTTCGGTTTTGCTTTAACCGAATCCGAACCCGATAAGGAATTTTCGAGTTTCGGGTAACCGAAAGTCCTTATCGATTTCGGGTTCGATTTCCAGTTATTTCGGTTTTGGGTTTCGAATTTTTTCGGGTTTCGGTTTGGGTAACCAAACCCGACCCGAACTTACACCCCTACACACAATCTAGTATATTACGAGAAACATCTTTTGATAGCCACTGATAGTGCTTTAATCACGAATTCGATTCTCCCGACAACTTGACGAAACACAAAATCAAACTAGACTCTACCGTAAACGTTGGGATCCTTCGATTTAAACAAAAAAAAAATAATCATACTCCAGTACTCAGTTGCGTCAAGAAAAAGCTCCCCAGGCAGGGGCGGACACAGGGGGGTTTAGGGGTGTCCGGGTTGGGAAAACGATTATCGAATCCCGGTAGTAATTTACGTATGGACAAAAAAAAAAAATTGATAGTGAGGGACACCCCGTAAATTTGAAAAAATGATTATCCTTCTGTCATTTGTGTATAAGAATATAAGTGGTAGGTTGGATAATTCAAATCTAGAACACTATTATTATTAATAAACTTAATTTCCATTGAGCTAAACTCATTTGTTGTTCGATTTTGAACAATGTGAGTAAAATGGCATTCCCTATCTCTAATTATTTTAAAAACCTAACAATTAAACTAATTTCAAACTACCCTTAATTTGTATTGATTTTATGATTGTATGACAAGTGTTGAAAGAGTCTTTCAGCTTTGGGTTACATCAAGAACAAGTTTACAAATAGAATACGTGATAAGTTCGTGAATGATTGTCTAGTAGTGTATATAGAGACAATTTTTTTAACACTATAGACACCAAGTGTATTCTACAATTATTTCTGAATATGAAAACATATCATGCACTTTTTTAACCTATACGAGTAAGATATTTTCATATTTACAATTTTGTTTTTATTAATTATTTTTATTTTTATTTAATTTATTTTTTAAAAGCGGACACCCCTATGAAAAATTTCTGGGTCCGCCACTGTCCTAAGGTACAAATGGTAAGATTGCATATGCAAATCACAATTTTACAATAATAATAATAATAATAATAATAATCTATAACTTATGTAACTTCGAACATGTACAAATTTCATATTTATATGTGTGGTTGTTCTTTAAATGGATATGCTTGTAAATAATATATCATCAATGATTCAACCTATACCAATAACTTGAGAGCTTATTTACATTAACTATTCCTACCACCAGGGCGGAGCTACACTCAAGCTAGGGTGGACCCCGACCCCCGTAATTGGTCCTCTGCCTACCACTATTATTCCACTCTGCATCATGTTATCCAAATCCAACTATCATCCCAATAGTCCATTGACTAAATTGTCACAAAAAGGTACGAATATATCTCTCGCATAAAATTCTTGACGATCTCCTGCCACCATTAATAAACAAACAATACAAATGTAACAAGAAGTTATAGAGACCATGGTACCCGTCTCTTTCCCTCGTCATCTTCTTCCGTTGGTTTGTCTTTCGGTTTGACAAAACAAGGTTGGTTTGGTGGTGGTCCGAAAGATTGACAGAAACCAACCAGAGAGAGAAAATTCCTATCACGTAAAATGAGTAAAAAAGATACATTTGTTGTAGGGCTGCAAATAAGCCAAGTCGCTCGCGAGCAACTCGACGTTCGAATCGGAAAAAATACGTCCGACACTCGACTCGATGTTAGCGAGCCGGCTCATTAGTAAACGAGCCAAGCTTGAGCTAGGCCATTCTCGGCTTGATAATCTCGTGAGCTAGCTTGACTCGGTGGCTTGTTGAGCTAAGCTAGCGAGCTGGCTTGTTTAAAGCTTGTGGAAGGACCAATTACTCTTTTGAACATAAAAATTATCTTGTTAATAAGGATGTGTATGGAAATTAGATGTTATTTTTAGTTTCTAGTGTTCTTTTTAACATTTTTAATTTCTAATGTTCTTATTTGTACACATTTTTCAGCAAGAATGATTTCAAATTGAGCTTATCTTGAACAGAGCTTGTACTCAGCTTGACAAGTTGTGTTAATGAGCATTTACCGAGCTCGAGCTCGATCTCGAGCTGGATGATCAAAATTCGAGTTCGAGCCAAGCTCGAGCTAAAAAATTTATAAACGAACCGAGCTCAAACTAAGCGAAAACTCGACTCGTCTCGTTTGCAGCCCTAATTTGCTGTGAGAAAAATATCTCAATATTTCATTGATTAAGTTAAGTTAAATTATCAGAAAATGGATTAATAAGATAGGTTGATTTACATTGATATGAAATTTCAGGAAAACCAATGCAACATTCTAAGCTTTGCATTAATTAATTAAAACCATATAGGATTAGAACAAGTTAATTAGTGATGCTACATATGTCACGGTTATTACATGACCCAATGGAATGGAAGCCACAGTAGAAGAACGTAACCCCCATTATGTGCTCGATACTTGGATTTTTGTTTACAGATAAATATGAATATAATGTTATAGTCCGCCTCCAAGAAACTAACTTTAGGTTAAATTCATCAACAGCAAAAAGCAATGGAGCTAAATTTTGATTGAACAAACAATAAATTGAATCAAATTGATTTTGTTTCAATTCTCTTTGACTCTGCACGTACGCAAAAGAAAAGCAAATAGCAAATGTATTGAACAAAACTCAGACAAGACTCTTAGGTACGTATAGTTGAATTCAATTCAATTCAGTGTGTGTAATAGCCCAATATAGCATGCATGATTCCGAACGAACCAAACCGAAGAGAATAAATTGTGCGATTTTGTATTATATCCATGACATCAAATAACAGAACAATGACGTACATCTTCCTAAGCAAAGAAAACACACCATAAGGGCATAAACAACAACGAAAGAGATTAATTAATTAATAATTAATTAAGGGGAGAGAGAGAGAGAGCAGCCTTGACCTGACTATTGACCCTTGCCCTTAATAATACAACGCGATTCCCAAAACCCATTGGAAATTTTGGAGGAGAAGGGGTTTTGGTTTTTCTCCCGGCCGGCCCCCGGATTTGGATTTCTCCTCCTCCTCCTCTTTGATTTGACTTCTCCGTCTCCCTAGCTATATAAATATACCACTTCCTTCTCAAACCTTCCATATCATTTATCAACCACCCTTCTTTCCTTAATTTCCTAGCTCCAACAACCAGAAGAGAAAAAAAAAAAAAAAAAAAACAACAACAAGGAGCTGCTCGACCAAAATGGAGATGCAACACCACTCTCCTCCGCCGGAGCCCATACCCGACCCGCCCAGCACCACCCGGGTCGCCTACAGCGGACCTCTAGTAACGACAACCACAAAAAAATCCAGCAGCAGCAGGAAGAAGAGCGCCAGGTTCAAGGACCAATTAGTAGTTGACAACGACGACCAACAGTACGTGGAGATCACGCTCGACATCCGCCACGACGCCGTTTCGGTCCACGACATCAAAGGCCGGGACCCGGAGACCGCCTTGCTGGCCGCTCAGCTGGGGTCGCCGGCCAATCGGCCCCAGATCACGCTCGGCTCCCAGCTCTCGTTCCGCCTCCGCCAGGTCTCTCGGGAGCTGAAGCGGATGGCTTCCTCCAACCGGGGTTTCGACCGGGCCAAATCCGGCGCCGCCAGGGCGCTCAAGGGGCTCAAGTTCATATCCAAGAACGTCGGCGGCGCCGGGTGGGTGGATGTCGAGAACCGGTTCGATGACCTGGCCATTGACGGGTCGCTGCCCAGGACCCGGTTCGCCCAATGCATAGGTATATATATTCGTTAACATTTACAAAATTGTTACCGCGTACGTAATTTAACTGCTAAAAATGAGAATAAAGTCATTACGAAATTGTTACCGCCTACATCATCACTCCACCACTTTCGTCATTCTATCCAAATTCACTACCTCCTAACAACTTTTATTTGTCCCGTCAGTTTTATTTTTATCATAATGTATAGGTCTGAGTAGTGAATTTGTGACTTGAATAAAATGTTTTTTTTTTTCCTTTTATTTGTCTAGGGATTTAATTTGCATATATATTCGGTTGCTTGCTTTGATATTTAGGGATGAAGGAATCGGGGGCATTCGCCGGCGAGTTGTTCGACGCGCTGGCACGGAGACGAGGGATCACGTCGGCGACCATAAGCAAGGCGGAGCTGCATGAGTTCTGGGAGCAGATTAACGACCAGAGCTTCGATGCCAGGCTCCAGATTTTCTTCGACATGTAAGTGAAGATTAATCACTAATTAGTTATTTAATAGCTAAACTAATACAACGGGTTGGGGACGAAACTATTTCTGATTTTTTATTATTATTTAATTAATGGTAGTTTTTATTGTTGAATACCTTTAAATTTTCTAACTAATAATAATTTTATTTTTGGATTGCAGGGTGGATAAAAATGCTGATGGCAGGATCACAGAAGAGGAGGTGAAAGAGGTAAAAATAAAACTATTTTTAATCTGTGTGAAATAAATCAATCATGATTAATAAATAATTAGCTACCGAATTTAATTGCTTTCACCCTTCCATTAATCATCGTCTAAGTCATTTTGTTTCCAGATTATTTCTCTAAGTGCTTCTGCCAACAAGCTATCCAAGATTCAGGACCGAGCAGAAGAATACGCAGCCTTGATCATGGAGGAGCTGGACCCTGACAATCTGGGCTACATTGAGGTCCATTTTCAGCCCATTCTCATCCTTTTAAGGCCTACCATTACCATACTTCAGGCCCATCACACCGAACCCATATGAATTTTCTTTTCTTCCTTTTGTGGCTAATCTATGCAGTTGTACAACTTGGAGACACTACTTCTCCAAGCCCCAGCCAAATCAACAAACCTAGCCACAGACAGTCGGGTCCTGAGCCAGATGTTGAGCCAGAAGCTGGTCCGAACTAAAGATCGCAACCCGATCAAGCGATGCTACAACGGGCTAGCTTACTTCGTCCTGGACAACTGGAAGAGGATCTGGATCGTGGCCCTGTGGCTAGCCATCTGCGCGGGCCTGTTCGCGTGGAAGTTCACCCAGTATAGGCGTCGGGCCGTGTTCGACGTCATGGGCTACTGCGTCTCGGTGGCCAAAGGCGGCGCCGAGACAACCAAGTTCAACATGGCCCTGATCCTGCTGCCCGTGTGCAGGAACACCATCACATGGCTCAGGAGCAGGGCCGTGCTGGGGAAGGTGGTCCCCTTCGACGACAACATCAACTTCCACAAAGTGGTCGCCGCGGGGATCGCGCTCGGGGTGGGCCTCCATGCGATCTCCCACCTCACGTGCGACTTCCCGAGGCTGCTCCGCGCCACGGACGAGGAGTACGAGCCCATGAAGCCCTTTTTCGGGGAGGACAGGCCAAATAACTACTGGTGGTTCGTGAAAGGAACGGAGGGCTGGACCGGCGTTGTGATGGTTCTACTCATGGTTGTGGCTTACATTTTGGCCCAGCCGTGGTTTCGTCGCAACCGGGTTCGTAACCTTCCGAAGCCTATGAAGAGGTTGACTGGGTTCAATGCCTTTTGGTACTCGCATCACTTGTTTGTCCTTGTCTATGCCCTCTTCATCGTTCATGGTTACTATCTCTACCTATCCAAAGATTGGTACAAGAAAACGGTACCTAAATAACTTCAACTCGATCTTGAAGTCAACGTACATATTCTTGATCATCTTTCTGATATGATACTAACAAATGTTCACATCCATATATTTTTGCAGACATGGATGTACGTCACGATTCCGATGGGATTGTATGCTTGCGAGCGTCTAGTTCGTGCTTTCAGATCTGGGTACAAGTCAGTCAAGATTCTAAAGGTGACAAGTATTAATAATCTTCTCTTGTTGTTTCTACACATTTATCATTTCTATCGTAGGATTTCTTATAATGCCTTCTATAATGTTTTAGTTTGCGGTGTACCCGGGAAATGTTCTCGCTCTCCAAATGTCCAAACCTCAAGGATTTCATTATAGTAGTGGACAATACGTGTTTGTCAATTGTGCTGCAGTTTCTCCCTTTGAATGGTGAGTTCGACTTTAGATGTCGTTCGGATTGTACGATTGCCCCATAACAATAGTTTAGTGCGACATGCATGTTAATGATTTTGTTTTTGGTCCACTATGCTATTACATTACAGGCATCCATTTTCAATCACTTCAGCACCAGGAGATGATTACCTCAACATCCACATCCGCACACTGGGAGATTGGACAGGGCAGCTCAAATCCGTCTTTGCCGAGGTAAATTACTAATCTATTCTTATCCAGTTTATTAGCTTAATGACACGTTGTCAATGTAGTAACCTTCCATGATCACTCTGTTTTCAATTCCTCTACTTCAGGTTTGCCAACCACCATCCGCAAATCAAAGCGGGCTCTTGAGATCCGACCCATCATCATCCAGGCCCAGAATGCCCAAACTCCTTTTAGACGGGCCGTACGGGGCCCCGGCCCAAGACTACAAAAACTACGACGTCCTTCTCCTAGTAGGATTAGGAATCGGCGCCACCCCTTTAATCAGCATCGTCAAGGACGTCCTCAACAACATCAAGCAGGGGAAAGAAATCGAAGAAGGAGGAGCAATGGAGAACAATGGCCACAAAAGGAATCAACCTTTCGCGACTCAAAAGGCTTACTTTTATTGGGTGACCCGAGAGCAGGGCTCGTTCGAGTGGTTCCGCGGTGTGATGAACGAGGTGGCAGATCACGACCATGACAAGGTGATCGAGCTCCACAACTACTGCACCAGCGTGTACGAGGAAGGGGACGCGCGCTCCGCTCTGATCACGATGTTGCAGTCGATCCAGCATGCCAAGAGCGGGGTAGATGTGGTCTCGGAGACGAGGGTGAAGACCCATTTCGCCCGGCCCGACTGGAGGAAGGTGTTCAAGCGGGTTGCCATGAACCATCCAGACCAGAGAGTCGGTGAGTGGTAGTAACTTTTTTTTTGTTAATCTGATTCGATCCAATTCTAAGGCTCAATTTTTACTTTCTTGTTTTTTTATTGTGGGTGGGTTAATTTGACAGGGGTGTTTTATTGCGGGGCGCCTGGATTGACTGGAGAGTTGAGGAAATGGGCTCGGGAATTTTCCAGGAATACATCTACCAAGTTTGATTTCCATAAGGAGAACTTTTAGCTACTAAGAGGGTCGATGTGTCTTGCAATCCCTAATTCTAGTGCTACATATTCTTTTTATTTGTGAAGTGTTGTTGAATGTATGGTATCATATTAGTTTATTTTTCTCCATTTTCATTACTACGTTTGTGATTGAAAAATAGTGAAGCAAAAGATTGTTTTTATATATGCTATTATGATCCTAAGCTCCTGTTTACCGTTATAAGCGTGAGTTAATGGTAAAGACGTTGATTTGAGAAAATAATATATTTTGTTTAGATTTTACTTGTCATTATTGTAGATAATATCACATATGTGACGTATCATACAAAATTGTGTGAGCTGAATCCCCTAATGAAATCATGATTGAGTCAACGATTATGATAATCAGTGTTTTATTTAACCTTTTAGGAAAGCTCTTTCATCATAAGGTGACGGCGACTCGACGAGTAGGATTTTGTTCCCCTATTTTGCTTGTGCATATATAAGAACTAAATAGCTCCTTTTTGAACACTTTGGGAACTAGTATGGAACTATGACATATGTTTATTTGAGTGTTATGTGGAAATAAAGGATTGTTTGCTTATTGGTGAGTTTAGAGTTTTTGAATTTTATTATTTTAATGAATTTATTACGTTATGGATTTGAAAGGGTTTATTATTTGTTTAGTCGATTTTTATCATGGATTTATACCTTTTTGCACCATGTCGCCCACAAATTTTTCTTCCATCAACCAAATCTCAAATAAAATTGGGATTTGCAATTCTATAGATCTCAAGGATTTGTGTTCCAATTTTTACCCCAACAAACAATTAAACTTATATATATAATTTAAGGTTTAAATATATAATGTTCTCATTGCATTCATCATCAACTATATTCGTAATATACAACATATTTTGTTGTTCTGTTTTGCAATTTTGATTATGTGTTAAAGGCTAGTTTTTATGCTTGTGATAGACTTTTGTATTTTCTTGTATGGGCTTTTTGTTTGTATTTTTTTGCATTGTTCTTTCCTTTGCTTTCACATGTAACACCCTAACCAGGCCGGTACTACTTTTACTAATATGCCCTTGATAAATAAAATACTCAAATCTTAAATTGCAGTGGGAAAAATTTTACTAAATAAAATACTGAAAACACACTTGTAGTTCAAAGCGCCCTAACACATGGGCAAACTCAATACTTAAAATCGCAAAATGATCTCCAGTCTATACTCATAATCATAAATGTAATGACTAATATTCTCTAATGTTATTGCTACTGAAAACCTTAACTAAGCATCCTCCGTGACGCTTATACTGCTCTCCTCTAGCTGGCTGCCCTCGAACTCGCTGCTCACTAACTGCTCCTCTAGCTCCTCTAGCTCTTCAAACTGGTGAGTGAGATGGGGTCATTCTACGCCCTTACGTTTTAAAAATCTAGTACTTGAGTATTTTACTTCAAATACTTAACTTAAACTGGTGGGAGTTGTTCGTACTTCCACTCTTAAAACTCCTAACTCTTAAAACTGTATGGGAGTTACTGTTACTCTCCATTCTTAAAGCGCAAAACTCGACTTAAATACTTGACTGACACGGGGATCCCTCACTAGCTAGTCTGGTTGCCAACTCATACGTATGAGAAGCCATCAAGGCTTTCCTTAAACTTATCGTGGAAGGCTCTTCTTCCACGATTCTCAAGAGCATAACTACTGCTCATCTTAAAAATTTCAAGAGCACAACTGTTGCTCTGTCTCAAAGATCTCAAAAGCATAACTACTACTCTATCTGAAAAACTCAAGAGCATAACAGCTGCTCTATCTAAAAAACTCAAATGGCAACGGACTGGCGCTAGCGACTAAAAACACTTAAAACGACTTCACCTTCTTGAAGGTGAAGTACTTCTTAAAACAAAAGGACTTGTTCTTAACTTTAACAATCACTCATAAACGTAAAGCTTTAAAGCAAACATCACACATTCACTATAAACCACTACTCAAACAAGCACATATCATCAATCATGAGCACTAACAACCATAGCAACACTTCACAAAAATACTGAAAACTCTAATACTTGAAAGAATACGTAAGGCTTAGAATTTACCCCCTTGACACTCACTTGGCTATATAGTTAAAATCCATCGGCTTCATGAACTAGGTATTCTAAAAGGTGTCATGGAAAAGCTTAGCATTTATTCGACGTTGCTCCCCCATCAACTCCATTCGTCCCAGTCGTCAAAAATCAACCACAACAAATTGCCCGAGCCATGTTAAAGCACCTCCCACATATGTACATATTCACTTAACCATTTCACTTGGTATTCCTCTACGAACTAACTAAATGCGGGTAGTGTAGGTAACTTACCCAAAACCATTCGCCTTCAATTTCGGTTCCCCGTAATGCATCTCCAGAGATGGTCGCCGCTACTTCCCAGGTGTGGTTGCCGGTAACAATTTTGATTTCTCGGTGGAATATATAGAGAGGGAACACGTTTTGGATTTGGCCCTGCTCGAATCCAAATTGATCCTCTCTCACTGTCCGCTCACCCCAATTGACTCCTTGTTCCGCCCCTCCTAAACAGGTGTGAACAGCAATAATGGCCGCTCATCTCGACCGCCCTGGCCCGCTACTAAATCACCTCCTTGTCCCGCCTCCTACTTGCTTAAGCAGGAAGCTGTCATAGTAGAGGGGTGTGTCGAGAGATTAATCGAGGCTCTGTGATGAGTCCGGCGAGGCGAGGCACGAGATGACCAGCGAGGCTCTGAGATGAGTCCGGCGAGGCGAGGCACGAGATGACCGTCCACCACAATCGGCCCTCATCCTGATTCCCTCTCGACCTGCCTTCATGCTTGCTTAAGCACACGGGTATCGTAGTGGAAGAGATAATTCGAGCGAACGGTTATGTGGGGACGGGGAGGAAGAGTTTGGGCGGCCGCTTCGGCCTCATGGGGAATTGGATTAGGTTTGGCTTAACTTTTAATTAGCTCAGAAGGGTATTTTTGGCATTTTGTAAATCACGGGTGAGTTTAACCCGAAACTCAACTATCGGCCGTAGCATACTCAATTTATGTCGTTGAACTGAGAGTTCGCATTTTTGGTCCTCATCGATATTACGATGAAATTTGACAAATTTCCCCGAGGGTATGATAGTCATTTTGACTTGGCAAGATCAAGGTGTAACATTTCCTCCACCCTTATAAAAAATTTCCCCAAAATTTAGACTGTGCTAGACACCTTGCATTTGATAGTGTTTGCCTCGACTGAGATATCACATTTCCCCCCTCCTTAAGAAAAATTTTGACCTCAAAATTTGTTCTTCGCGACAACCTAAGGTCTCACTTGAGGAAATCCTTCTACTACTGGGATGTATACTTCCTTTCCCGGTATGACCTTGAGCTATGAACCCTTTCCTCCAATTCGTGTGGTTCTTGGCCAACTAATTACTCACCCACTTTTCATAAATCTCTTGCTCAAGCTAGTTACTTGCTCAATGCGTCTATGGCACTATGGCACTCTCCCTTCTTAAATGCCTCTGATGCTGTAATGGCTTCGTAGCTCATATTGTTCTCAACTATTTGTCTTGGGTCTCTACTTAGGATTCCTTAAGAACTTAAAGGAAATAAATTATTAGCCAGCCCTATTCAAGTCATGACTCGTCGTAACTTCAGCTCATAACAGGCCCAGACCTTGAACTTCATCCTCCCTATCTTGACTGCTGACGACTCTCCTTAGTATAGAATGTTTGACCTGCTTAATGATTAACTCTGATGCTGGTTCCTAGGTATCGCTTCTTCTCCCTTTATAGGCGTCGTTATTCTCCTCTTTGATAATTCCACTTGATACGCACTCTTGATGCCTGATTCACCATATATGGTGCCTTTAGCATGAGAAAATCCCTTACATATCCCTATTGGTGTTCTTAATACCCCTTTCAACCCTAAGGTTACTAATAGCGGCTTAACCTCCATCTTGTTATATTGTAAAACTCTTTTAACGTAAGCTCATTTGTGGTTGACCACGTAGATCACCTAGGTCCTTGTACCTTCTAACTTTGAATCTCTTACTTTCTTCCAAGATTCTTCGTCTCTCCCTTTAGCCATCAACTGAATGGTCATCTCCTCAATACTTCTTGTTTAAACCTGAAACCTCACACTACTGCTCTTACTTTCTATATGCCTTAAAGGCATCATTTGCATCTTTCTCTAGCTTGCTAACAACTTTATGACTCCTTTCAAGAGTCATGACCTTCCCCTTGGCTTACTAGTTCACTCCTGGCGCCTAACTTAGCACTTCCTTATCGCCGCCTGAATTTGAAACTCTCGTACTATCCATTATGCTACTCTTAGACCCCTAGCTAAAATTCCTCTTACGGTTTCCCCATCCAATAGAGTCTTACTTGAGAGATTGACACATTTCACCAGCATAGGCGATCTTGGTTTCACTTTGTGGTATTCTATCAGGTTCCCTAAACTTATAGCCCTCTTACTTCGTTACTCGTGACTCTTCTTCTTGATGTTCCTTTCTCGGTTTAGATGTCCCTTGTTCGCGACATAGTCCTCTAGGTTCCTATATCCTCTTCTCACTTATGTACTTTGGCCTATAAGGTTTACCCTTCCACTATTCTTGACGACCTTGATTCCACCTTAAAATTGGCTGAAATTTCTTGATGGACTCCCTATGGATAACTCGTTCTCCGTTGGTAGTCAACCTAATGCTTCCTGGTAGTCTTCTGTATTCCTGGTTCGACATTTCCTAACTATTTTCCTCCACGCACACTCCTTGAACTCGAGTCACTTACACATATTCCCACTCCTTTATCAAGAACTTCCATGTCCTTCCTTGACTTCCTACACTCTATGACATCTCTAATGCCACTTCACAGTTATGAGCTTACGGCTTCCCAAAGTCTAGTACTACTTCTAGATTTCTTGCCAATCATTAAGCAATTTTAAAGATAAATTCGCACAAAGAAACTTGCAAATCCCACCTGAGACTTGACCAATTGACTTATTGAAATCTCGTCAAACTTCCTCTAGTCTTCTTTCTCTTTCCTAGTATTGTAT